TACTCGTACACATTTCTTTCCTTTAAAAATACAGAGCAAGATCAAGGTCAGTTCTGAAAGGATCAAAAACCAAGTCTTCCTGGGTTTAATGTAGGAAGACACAGCCATGCAACAAAAGCATCCATGTTTCTTTCCCTAATGCTTCTCTCTCACAGTCCCCTTAGCCAGGAGAGCAGTAAGAATAGCGGCTGACTAACTTTTATTAGGAAGCCGAGAGTGACTCCTGCTGGCAAACGTTCACTTTACTCCTGCAATTACTAGCTCATCAGGTCAACTTTAGAAACAAAACGCAGGGGTCCAGGGCCTGGAAACAATTACTGAGGCCATTATCCTTGTTGCGTTCAAGTTGATTTTCGGCAGAATTCCAAGGGTTGCGGTTATGGCGAGCTCCTTTGCCGTAACACCTCCTTTCCAACCTAAAGCAGCCTGTTTTTCTGGTTTTGAGCCTTTCTTGAAAGTGTACAGAACTGAAAGACCTTTTCCAGGGGTGTACTACTAACCAATGACCAGCTATGCTCCTTTTCTAAACTGAATCTCCAAAGGCTAAACACACGTACATTAGAGAAATGAACTTCCAAAATACAGGCTCTTCCCGCATGAGGTAGCAAGTCCAACAGACATAAAAGAACGTACCCCCACTGTTTAGTTCTGGATTTCAGTTCTTTACCATAAAAATCCTACCGAAAAGGTTGTACATTAGAACTTTGTTCAATTCAGAAGCACAAACAGAAACTTAGCCAAACTCTGGATTTAAAACAACGGAAGCTGCAAGTGGGGGCCGAGCTCACTCCCTTTATCCAACAGTCACAAGGAAATCAGAGCCAGATTTCAAGCACAACCAGGGCCCTGAACACAAAATCATAGGCCAATTTAGGAAAGCACATAGAAATAATCCAAAAGGAATCACTTGTCACCTTTTCCATTATCACTGATCAACACTGACCTGCTGAAGGCACGGAACACCTGGGAACTAGAAAACGCCGGCATTACTGTGTGGAGGAACGCTAGTGTGCATGGCGTGCACCACGGATCTACTCAGAAGGGCCTGGGAGGTTCAACGGTGGATCCTCCTGTGTTAGCGTGCTCCCTCATTCCAGGTTTAAAACTCTTAAGCAACAGGAGACAATCAGGGTGAATTTTATTAAGAAAGGGTGTAACCAACTATAACTTGTATCAACAAGCTAATAAAAGTGTTCATCTAAGCACATTTTACAGGAGGATAAAGGTTGGGTTGATATACACTAAGGAGTGTCTAAAGTAGGTAGTTGTGGGTGTTTTATTTTTGAGTCTTTAGAACCAGATAACTGTGATGTTCAAACAACAAAAAGCTAAGCTTTGAAGACTGAGCAAGTCCTGTAAATGCTGTTCACATCTCCTCATCAAACCTATCTGCACCCACGGTTGTAAAAAGAGCTCGGCACTAAAAAAGCATAAACTAATTAGAGAGAATAACATCCAGCTCTTTTCAGACTAACAAAGTGAGCTAAACAAGTTCCAAACGAGTCTTGCATTGGGCCCAACAGCAGTATGCAGGTGCATGTGTATTAACCCTTGTATTCAGCTTCCAAAAGCCACTGCGTCTCTTTGTCACAACTGGTGTATTAAAAGCCAGTCACTCACATTTCACACTATCCTTTCTGTATGTGAACAGATCTTTTAATAAAAGCAGACCCTTTTAAAACTGCTTATAATGGATTGTGGGAATCATCAAATCCACCTGAGTATTTTTAAAGAAATTAGTGACTAAAAACAACTTAGCAAAACACATTTCTTTGGAAAGTTTTTGGTTACAGACAGAAGCCAAATATCTGAACCTACCGTAGGGACAATTCTCTTACGTGATCTTACTCAGAAGAAAAGCAGTTCAGTATTTTTCTCACACCTATGCTCCAGCTACAACTAACAGTACTGGCGCTGTGAGCACGGAGCATGTCATGCCACACTGACCCTCCCGTTCCTTCCTTTCGGTTCTTTTCAGCTTGTGGTCTGAAACCTTTCCACTGAGGACAGTGAGTTATAATTCTGGCTGGAATCATATTTACATTTATATTTACAGATACATATACACATACACACAGCTTTTTAAAGAACTACGTTAGTTCTTAAAAACCAAAATACTCAGTATAACAAATTTATTTTCATTGAAAAATAATCACAGCAGTGAATGGAACGATACCACCCTACTCTTCTGATAGGAAACCAGAGTCGCCAGCAGCGTGAAGGGGACCAACTGCTGAATCTGCAGAGCTTTGAAACCGAGCGTCTAGCACCACTGAGGAAGGAAAGCACGCCAGCTGGGACGGCATTGAGCACACAAAGTGTGGGTTGTCAGCCTAAGTCCTGAGCACAAACCCTGTTTTCCAAGTTGGCAGGTGCTGAAAACACAGCAAATGTCACGCTTGCAACTCACCGGCTGGGAGCACTCTGGGCACAGCAAGCTAAAAGGAACAGAGCAACAGTTAACATCGCCACTCGGTAGTACCTGATTTATTTGCAGTATTGGTACTATGTGCTAAGCCTAAGTGTGAAAAAACACATTGAAGTTGATGCATGGTAAAAAGCAAGTAAGTAAATAAATAAATAAAGGCTTTTCACTATCTGCATTCAAAGTTACTGGCATATGTAAAACTTATCAAACCTGCATTATTTTCTACCAAGATTCAAAAGTGAATTCAATTTTGGCCTTTCCTTGATCTACGTAATAAGATCCCAGGTGAAGGAGGTTCCAATGAGTGTCACTTATGCAGTCAGTCATCTATCATCTAGTTGGCTTCAGTCACTCCACCAAGAACATTGCTAAAGACAAGCCACACTATTATCATATTGTTCCACAATGAACTCCATCTGGAAAAGACTTAACTGCACAACCAGGCTGACCGTTTAATTCTTATCTTCAAATGGAAACTCTAAGGGTGAAGGTTTCTACATACCACTCCAGTGTTGTTCTTCAGTATCTTTAGTGGAATTCACATTTAGTATTTGAGATACAAGCCCAAAATGTAACTTAGTTGTTCTCCTTTGTCAACTCTGCCATTTACGTCATTGCCTCAAGAAACATCTATTTTTATTTCACTCCTAGCAATACACTCAGAACTACTGTGATATAGCCTCACTCCCTAAAAATGAAAATGAATCTCATTTTCATTGTAGCAAAGAAACAACAGTAAAATTTGATATGATTTGTGATTTCACAAAGTTTAAATACCCCATTAAAAGGTGAATCCTTTGGACTTTAAAACATCAAGAAAAAAATGACTCTCTGGTTCCAACAGGCAGAACTTTTCTGGGAGCAGTACAAAGAGAACGCTTGCCTACATACTGGCCAGCGGGTGGCTGGACCCTCCTCCACAGTCCGTGATAGTAACCAAAAGTGAGGGTCTTTGATTTTCATTCACACCCACTCCTCCATTCCCATGTGTAACAGGGGCAGGTCTTGCCTAGTCTGTCTGCATGCCCTGCAGCTGTAGTTTAACGGGGCCTGGAGGAGAAATGAGTCAATATGAAGTTGGCTAGCTGTTTTAAATACCAGTTTGCAGCTCCCCTTAATTTTCACAAGGGAAATATCTTGATCAAAACCAGGTTATTCAAGCCCGGTGCTGTTCAACCACAGTGCTCATTTTAAGAAATGACGCTTTGATTACATTCTGTCCTAAAGGTGGACATCCCATCTTACTGACCTCATCCCTGTACAGTTTTCTCAAGGTTGTTCAAAGACTCAAGCTCCTGGAGGGGAACTAGAGAGAGCAGCACACAGTGCACTGCCAGCGTTTCTAGTCCTACTAAGTGCTCCTGGCACTCAGATAATCACTTAACCACCAAGGAAAAGGTTAAATAAATAAATCTGAAAGCACTCAATGTCTGCTAGTCTAGCAAACAACTAGTTCACTGTAGTACATCCTGCTGTCAGCGTCGGTATAAATTAAGGCAGAATCTGATAACCTATTGAAACTATGACTCAGTATCAAACTTTAAAGTGCTTCTGTGAACGCCACTGTTACCTTACAGCAAAGAAAATAACCATGACTCACTGACCAAAGACAATCAAATCTAGATGAGGAGCTAGAAAACAATGACAGAATCTTTAGCCTGCTGCTCACTAACGGGTCAGTCAGTTAAAGACCCAGAGAGCCAACCCAACACCTCTCATTAAAATCATGCTACCAACTTCCGAAGGCAAAGCCATCTCGGTTTCCTTGTTGGGCATCCTTTGGTGTTCTGAAGGAGTCAATGACGGTGCACCACAGCCTTGCCATTTGCTTCCAATTCAAATGCACCACGTAATCCCCACCGTACCTACATTTATCACTGCATTAACGCCACGTAAACGGATAATGATCTAAACCCGAGGGGATTCATACAGTCTGCTAAAACACATCACACAGAAAGAATAACTAAATAAAATACGTCATACAGGGCACTTTCTGAAAATGTGGCATTATGAGATCTGGTCCTAACATCTCAATCATCTGTATTGAAAGGTGCGTTGGTACCAGTCCTATCTAGAGACTAGAAAAAGGAGCTAAACTACGATTTTTTAAGAAGCTCTGCAAGGCACGCCAGTTCCAAATTTTCCTTATTTATCTAACACTCTTATTATATTCACTCATTTAATCGCTTCAAAAATACAAACGGCATCCCAAAAGACTGGTGATTAGAGTCTACCAAGAGGTACCTCAGAGAAAAAGGCCTGGCACTCTGCTTCCTAAAGACCAGCCACTCAAAACCCTACGAAGCACGGTTCTACTCCAACTCGTGGGGTCGCCACAAGTCAGAGGCAACTCAGCAGCAACTGGACAGGTAAGTAAAATACAAATGCCTGCTATGGATTCAAACTGACTCAGTGGCACTGAGTGTTCCAATCCTGACAATTAACACCCGCCAGCTCCAGTGGCAGAGGGGTCTCAGAGGAAAGAACGTGCACTTGGCCTGGGGGAGGAAGCACCTAGGCTCCTGCACACTGATTTTGTCATTTAATATTCACGGCACCACTAGGCAGGGCTCTACACAACTGCCTCTCTCACCACTGCATCGAGCTGCCTCGCTGGAATGGAGAGAAGGAACACAACCTTAGAGGTGTCTCCGGAACATCAGGCACGTTGCTAGCACCTGGAACAGACTTCCGTCTCACTGTGGGGTGAAGGAGGTGTAGGTTGACAGCAGCCCGTAGAGGAACAAGAAGGCTTAAGAACAGCAGACTCAAGTTCTACACGCCAGCATGGGTCTCTGTGCAGGTGAGAAGGTAAAAGTCTCAAAGCCCTGGGACTTGGCATGGTAAACAAGGTCATCTGTTTATATAGCTGGTGTGCCCTTGGGCAGGAAGAATCAAAGTAGGGAGAAGCTCCCAATTATTACAATGTCACATGGCTCAGTCTTGACCTCCATCTTTCTACCCATAAAAGTAGACTGCATATTTAGGTGTAGTTTCTGAGTTCCTCAGATAAACCATCTGCGCCTAAAGAAAGCTTGGTGGTGTACTTCCCAACAGCCACAGCCCCTGAAAACCCACAGAGTGCAGTTCTGCTCAGGACACACGGGGTGACTGGCAGTCAGGACTTACCCCACGGCAACTGGTGTGCTCTTCCACTTTTTTTTTTTGGTATGGTCAAATTACTAGAAACTGAATTATTAAACACGTATCAGAAATAATACCAATACTCAAATCTAAACCTTCAGAATGCATGCACAAAAACTTTTTTGATGAAAAATCCTCCTCTGATTGCTTCAAATGTTTAATTAAACATGCATATCATTTTTCATATACATTATTAGATACCTTGCTTTGAAAGAACTATAAAGTTATGTGACAATTGATACTTCGCAGATGGACTATTTAAACTCCTCACATATGAAGGAAGGAGCCTGGTGGCACAGTGGTTAAGTGCTCAGATGCCAACCAGAACCTCGGCGGTTTGAACCCACCAGCAGCTGTACAGGAGAAAGCCATGGCAGTCTGCTTCTGTAACGACTGACAGCCTTGGAAACCACGTGGGGCAGTTCTACTCCGTCCTACAGGTCTCTCTGAGTCAGCATCGACTTGACGGCAATGGGTTTGAGTTTTGATTATTGTATGTGATGGAAATCTATTTTGTAGGCCTTTCTCTGAGCCTCAGAATCCACTTTGGGTGTACAGGGGAATTTGAAATATCACCTACTGAACCCCCTTGTTTTCACAGAGCAAAAATATGAAGCTCATAAAAGAAAGTGGTTTGCCTAGGTCTAATCATTTCTCCTCTCCAAAACTTAAGTGCTTAAAAAACCTCAATTCCCTTTGCTATTTATTCCATTACTGAACAGATTTAACATATGAATTACCTGTGACTACAAAATCACTCAAAATAAACTAAATTTCACATTCAGCAAATCATCTGAAATTTCATTTATCAAATGGACTTAATACAAAATGCTCTCTTACTTCTGACTATACAATCTCTTCCCTATAAGAGCTTCCAAGAGGAAACCTCAGCTCACTCACTAAATGAGCCAACCTTTGTGAAAGAAAGGCTTACTGTACAGCGAGGTCCAGTAGGCTGCATCCCTTTAGTTTAATCCAATTCATCACTTTTTAATTACATAATAACCACAACAATTGGCACTTACAACTACATAGCCATATGGAACCCTGTCCTGTCTCCTGAACCAACCATGTGATCAATTATTTCACACATCTCTTCCCTGAACCAGGACTCCCCTTCTAGGTCAGGGAGGGGTACACAGGGGTAAACCGCTTAGACCTGCACGCTTGCTGAGGGCTGCTTCTGGAAAACCCACAAATACTGATTCAAAACGTCAGCACACAAGCAGCAGGACTGAAGTGGCCCTGAACGGTTCTACTTGTAGAAACAACACAACATGCAGTTTTCCCTCACAATTTCAGGCCCTTCCTCCAAACCCTGCGTCCAGCTGTGGACGTCAGCCTGTGTGTTTAAGTGTCCAGATTCCAACCAGGCTTCTCGCTGAGGACCTAGAAGGACAATCTACTGACTGCTGCTTCAGCGCATCCACATGTGCTTCCCGACCAAAACCAACAGGAGCACAGGCGGAGCCTGCGGCAGAAAGGCAGGAAGATGCGGGCTATAAACGGCTCCTTCCTCTCTCCCCGCAGCCCGCCCCCACACACACAAGTACTATGGCTGGAAACCATCCTAACATTTTTCATCCTAGCTTTTTTTTTTCAACCAGGAAGTGCTAAAATTAGATGGGAACAAAGGACAGACATTTCACATCAGAGGCGGGGCTAGGAGGAACAGGGGGACCAGCAGCACCCACTCACCTCTCGTTCAGCCTCATCCTCCCAACCATTCTCTCCTCTTGGACTGAAGCTGCAGGGACGGCAGCAGGGAAAGCAATGACCAGGGAACCAATATCATCCAACGCCTTTTCTATTTCACTAACGTCACTGGTAGTAAACAGACTGCTTTGTCTGTACAACGATGAAGAGGGATAAACACAGTTCACAGTCAACTTAGTCAAGCAAAGTATTTTCACGTTTCTTTCCAAGTTCCTTAGATAATATCCAGGATATGCTAATTGCTAGTTCATGTATAAATTTTTAAGTATTTGGGAAAACAAGTACATTAGATTCAGTTTTCAAGCTTCCAAATGGCATGCATAATAAAGATCACTCACTAAAATACTAATCTTTTCCTGATGCAGAATAAAAATACATATTGTAAAACATGACACAGAAGGATTTATCATTTCTTCAGGATGGGCCGCTCAGAATCGTAGATCTTGGTTTTTTAGATCGTCCTGTAGTAAGCTTTGCAAGTAATTTACAAATATTTTAAGGCACAATGGATCTCTTGGTTGTCAGTCGTTCTTAACAATGGTATCAGCATGACAAAAGTGCATTAGGCCAGCATCTACTTCCCCGCTTTTGAAGCTCTACTCCAGAAAAAAGGAAGATATTGATATTGTCAGTCTTAGGAAGAATTACTGTTTTTTCACTGTGGCTTTCCTGGGCCTACAATGCACGGCCAGCTCCAGATTCGGCCAGAGGCCCTCTGGATGGTCAGGCCCATGCACTGTGCTGTGAAGATTTTTCACTCAGTGAGCACGGCCTCAAGCTCTCTTTTTCCTGGTTACCAGAGCCCATCTTGACATGTAAGCTGCAAATGAATGATCTTTCAGCACCACTCCAGGGATCTGCTAAGGTCATATGCAATCATTCATGAGGCTTCTTACCCCTCGCTTTTCAGAGTTCCATTGTAAAGCTGGTTTCATTCAGCATTTATATAGCCTGTGGGCTTGGGTATTTGTGTGCTTAATGTTGAGTTTCATTTCTATGCCCCTAACACAGGAATCCATCAACTGACCAAAGAACTTCAAACTATTCTTTTATTTTTCTAACAAATTGTGTGGTGTGTACAAAGAATAAATTAGCATTAATTTTCTCCCATTAACTGTTAATAAAAAAACATGCTCCTGAGCGCCTCCTCCTCCTAAGGACATCTCAGTTTCCTGCCTTGCCCAGAGAAGTAATGCAGATTTCCTCACTTTTTCCCACTATGCAACCGTCCTTCACCTGCCACACTCCTCACCTCCCACATCACGCCCTGGCTCACGCTCGTGGGCAGCCATCTTCCAGGGAAGTGTAGTAGACAAGCTTCCTTTCTGAGCATGTGCACACCTCCTCACAAGTAACTAAAGGAGGTACTGCTAAGCATAGAAGACACCTGGTCTCTGGCTCTCAAAGCAGAGTGTCTGTCTCTAGAGCACACGTTCTAACTAGAGAGCCCAAAACAGGAAACCAAAGCCAGGTCTCTCCGCAGCCAAGGAGGCTGACATGGAGAACAACCGACTTTCATCACTGTCTCTATTTTAACTGCAGGCCATCGGACAGATGCACACAAACAAGAATCTACACACAGAAATAGATAAAGTGCTGCAGAGAACATAAAGGACCTACTGGTTTCTACTTCTTTGCATACCAACTTAAGAAAGTTATTCAAGGGCATAGGAAACTGAATTCCTAATACTGCTTTCCTAAAAATGAAGGTTTCTATTATACTCTGGCTGAATGTGGATTAAGATCAGCACATAGTCACAGAAATGTAAAAGTCAACAATAAGGGAGTCGAAACACTATTCACACAGACTCAAAGTCTGGCTATGTTGAGCTCCCTTTTCCCCTCAAATTAAACTGAAGCTTGCGTGCACACAACAAATGAAGAAGAAAGACAACCTCACCGTTACTATAATGGGGAAAAAAAAAAAAAAAAACTCACTCAAGGACAGTTTGTACTTATTTTAAATGGATTTGGTCATACTGCCAAGCAGAGTATCAGGTCTGATTTCTCATCTGCACAAATACCAGTCCCCAAAAGCAACTCTAACTTGTGCACCTGGCTGGAAATAAGATGTCCTGGAAACTTTCTATCTGTGAATTGGTGTACCCGCCCTCTCAGGCCTCAATTCCCTTTGGACTTGCACACGTACTTCCTACACGAAGGGGCCTGTTAGACAAGAATAACATCAGCATGAAAATCAACAATTCTGGGCAGGCTCCACAGAGAGATTGTGCTTGCATTTCGAACAAGTTTCCTCAAAATAAGAGTGTCTTTTGATAAAATAAAACTACGATTCCAACTTCTCATCCATAGGAAACAACATTCACTGACAGAACTACCACCCTCTTTTATAACTGCAGAGTTCCTTTTAGTCATGCACAGATTCATATATTTAACAATACCAAGTTAAATAATAATGTATTTGCATCTTGTTTCAGTAATTTAGGGATCTTTGCTGGCCTGGTTTTTAACACCGTGGTATTAGTTGCAAATATTAAAATTCTTCCATTTGTTCTAATTGCAACTCCTAAGAGGTTAGCTACCAACAGGACTAAGCTGATAAAAAGAGATGACAACTCCCTTTTCCTCAGCTTATCAACAGCTCCATGATTCAAAACAAAAAAACAAGCCTTCGTCTTTAAACGGAACAAACACGCGCCACAACAGTGACTCAAGGAGCTTTCCAACAAAGGCTCCCAACCCACTATCTGCGAGTCAAACCCAATGTCTCCATCTATTTGCACAGAAGGCCT